CTAGAGAAAAAAAAAATAAGTGAAAAAAAAACTAGAGAAATAGAAGTAAAAACTAGAGTAAAAAAAACTAGAGAGAAGAAAAAACTAAGTAAAAAAAAACTAGAGAAATAGAAGTAAAAACTAGAGTAAAAAAACTAGAAATAGAAAAAACTAGAGTAAAAAAACTAGAGAGAAAAAAAACTAAGTAGAAAAAAAAACTAGAGAAATAGAAGTAAAAACTAGAAAAAAAAACTAGAGAGAAAAAAAACAACTAGATAAATAGAAGATAATACTAACAGGGTTTTTTTTTAACTTAGAAAAAATACTAAAAAATACTAAGAGGTTTAATTTAGAATTGTCAAGTCACACAGAAGAACTTGCAAAATAAAAACACTAACACCACCAGGTGAAAAAGGTTTACTTCTTTAAACTTTACAAAGAAAAAAGTTATCTTTTTAAATCCAAGTTTTGAAAATTGTCACATAATTCATCACATTTCACACTAAAATATATGAATTAATGAATCTGGGTGCCTTTCAACTTTCTTCAACACTAAAGTAAAAAAAAGAATTTCATCAAAAAAATAATAAGAGAAAATATATTTAGAAAAAAAACTAACTAATACTAAGAAGAAATTAAAGAGAAAAGAAGTATAAGAAAAAGCCAAAGCAACTGCCAAAATCTTTTCAATTGTGAAAGCACAAGGAAAAACATGCAAAATCGAAACAAACACCACAAGACAAAAATCAAGTTTCTTCTTAAACTTTTCAATTCTTAAACTTTTCAAAAAACATTTAGAAGCAACTGCCAAAATCTTTTCAATTGTGAAAGCACACGGAAAACATGCAAAATCGAAACAACAAACACCACAAGACAAAAATCAAGTTTCTTCTTAAACTTTTCAAAAAACATTTAGAAGCAACTGCCAAAATCTTTTCAATTGTGAAAGCACAGAAAAACATGCAAAATCAAAACACTAACACCACCAGACAAAAAAGGTTTACTTCTTAAACTTTACAAAGAAAAATTTCTCTTTATAAATCCAAGTTTTGAAAATTGTCACATAATTGATCACATTTCACACATGTTATCACACACTAAAATATATTAATTAATGAATCTAGGATAGGGCTAAAATAATTCAGGTTCTTCAGGGGTGCCTTTTAACTTTCTTCAACTTCATTCATTCTAAAGAGAAAAAGCATTTCATCAATCCTTTTAGGCAAAAAGTGGCAGCAAAGTTTGTATTTTCAACCTGACATCATTATTAAAAGATATTACTCATTATCTTACTTTAGTCATCTGTTTTATGCCAATTATATTTTGCCATTTCAATAAAAAGAATGTGTCACATGCATATATTCAACCCAGACATATGTCACTATTTAATTTGAACACAGAAAAAACTGGGTATCACCCTTCTGAGTACTACAGAATATTAATCACAGGGAAATCAGAAAATTTTCTCCCAAGTTCTCCCACTTTTTTGTGGATATTTATTGTAAGACCACCACAGGAATTTTAGTAATCAGCCAGACTGGTTCAGCTGTTATAGCGTCAAGTTTCATCATTGGTTTCACACATGGTGACCATAGAAGCAAATTTCAATTTCATAGTTGTCATCTCAACAATGTAGTGGCTTTTTAAAATCAAATGCTGACAATCCATGACAGAATCAAATTACCTCTGTGAAGAAATCTTGTCACTTCCAATGTTCATCTGACAGTAAAGTTCATATCCACAGCTCATGTTGCACTCTTGACCAAGAAAAATCTTGAATATAGATATATAAATAAGACATGATTAATATAAAATTTCATTTTCAACTATCTTAACTATTGTCTAGTTTTTGGTCAGGTATTTTATGGTTATACTTCATCCCTCTACATATAACTATGGTTGCTATATTTATTTAAAGACCACCACAGGAATTTATTACTGGTGACATATAGTGAGCATAGAAGCAATGTTAACTTAGTAATCTTAACAAAATTTGTGACTGCCTGAGGATTTTCCAAAAAAAAATCCTAGTTGCAGCAAATTCCCCCTTATACTAAATAACAAAATATATACCCGGGTAGTTGATGTGTATTACAAGGTCACTACAAGAATTTCAGCTGCAAGGCTAATATAACTTTTGAAGGAACAATCGAATTACCTTTACGCAGAAATCTTGTCATTTCCAATGTTCATCTGACAGTAAAGTTCATATCGACAGTAAAGTTCATATCGACAGCTCATGTTGCACTCTTGACCAAGGAAAATCTTGAATATAGATATATAAATAAGAAGACATGATTAATATAAAATTCCATTTTCAACTATCTTAATCATGGTTACTTCATCCCTCAACATATAACTATGGTTGCTATATTTATTTAAAGACCACCACAGGAATTTATTACTGGTGACACATAGTGAGCATAGAAGCAATGTTAACTTATTAATCTTAACAAAATTTGTAGGCAGTTGATATGTATTACAAGGTCACTACAAGAATTTCAGCTGCAAGGCTGATATAACTTTTGAAGGAACAATAGAATTACCTCTGTGCAGAAATCTTGTCATTTCCAATGTTCATCTGACAGTAAAGTTCATATCCACAGTTCAAGTTGCACTCTTGACCAAGGAAAATCTTGAATATAAGAAGACATTATTTAATATAAAATTGCATTTTCAACTATCTTAATTATTGTCTAGTTTTAGCAAAAGGCACAAAAGACACAAGACACAACAGTAAAGTAAAATACTTAACTTTGACCAGACAGCACAACAATCTTGCTCAGAAAGGTCCGCGAACGGTCCACGTGTATGGGATCGCCATTTTGAATTCGGCGGCCGGGCGAGTCTTGAACTGATTTCTATTTTCTATTTCAACTGTTCTCTTGACGTTCGTCTTGATAACTGGCTGTTGAGATAAACGTTAATAACAAAATGTTCAGTTCTGCTACAGTCTATGGGTGCGGAAGTTGCTCATGACATAAATTTTCAGTACTAAAAAAATTATCATTGCAAGCAGAATTAAACTCGAAACTTTGTACGCAGAATATTTCATAACCTTGTACGCAGAATATTTCATATTGTATATGGCTTTTTGTTATTTCTGGCCAACAATTAGCAGAAGGCACACAAACATCAAAGTAAAATACTTAACTTTAACCAGACAGCACAACAATCTTGCTCAGAAAGGTCCGCGAACGGTCCACGTGCATGGTTTTCTTTGGCATCGCCATTTTGAATTTGGCCGGGCGAGTCTTCTATTTCATCTTTTTTCTCTTCACGTTCATCTTGACAACTAGCTGTTCAGATAAACCTATATACAACGAAAAAAAAGGGTTCGGCTCAGCTACACTGTACTCCTTAAGGAAGGCCTACGGCCTTCCCGTAGATTAGTGTAAAGGCCTACAAGTGGGAACTAGTCAACTAGCAGCGTGCGGGGGACCAAAACGCTCTAGGCAAACGGTCCCCTACTGGGGTCGGACAAAGCAACCGCAGATTACGCATATAATCGCCGGAACCCACCTTTTAGTCAACGGCGAACTCCTTCTTCCTCGAACAATCTTCAATCTTGCTGAGCTTCGATCTTGCTGTCCACCTTCGATCGCCACCTAATTAAAGAAATTTTTTTTAACGTTGAGATTACTTTTATAGGCGATAATTACCATGTGATCATAGCAGATCACGTGGTATGATAATGTACGACAACATGCCGATCAACTCCGAACATCATCGTGAGCGATGTTACTAAAAACGAATCGCTAAAAGCCTAGAAAAAAGTTGTCTTTTGAATTGTCGCTGTGTGCCGAATTCTTTGTATTTCTGATGTCAAACAATCCTATACTTTTTGGTATCATAAATATAAGCTCCTTTGTTTTGGAGACATACAACAGTTTTTTATTATATTTTAGCCAAAACATATAGCAGCAATTACCGATTCACTAAGTTCATTCTCATCTTGATTCACAAATTTTTAAAGGACTTGAATCGATTCCATGCGGTCTACAATAGCTGGGCGAACGTCTTACACCTAAAGTCAGTCAAAGATTGTTGTATCTCAATTCTTTAGCTTCAGTGATAAACAACATGAAGAAAAACATCACTTAATCACAGAAAACAACACAGATCAGTATACCATGTCACCATGAGAAACATTACAAGGCCTTTATGACCTCTTATAATAATTACCTTGGCAAACATTTTGCAAGAAAACTCTCACAAAGTCCAGTTAAATGATAACACTAAATGACATGCCTCCGATTTAGCTTTTGTTCTGCTCCGAGAAGGTCATCGTTGGCAGTTCCTTGGCTAGCAATAATAGAACAAAATTATTAGGACTCAATATTCTGGATGGCGTTGGCCTTGCAGCACTTGTCCACAGGATGTAAAATTGACAATCATCTCAGGCAGTCATCTCAGGCAGTCATCTCAAGCAGTCATCTCAGGCAGTCATCTCAGGCAGTCATCTCAAGCAGTCATCTCAGGCAGTCATCTCAGGCAGTCATCTCAAGCAGTCATCTCAGGCAGTCATCTCAAGCAGTCATCTCAGGCAGTCATCTCAGGCAGTCATCTCAAGCAGTCATCTCAGGCAGTCATCTCGGACAGTTTTTATCAAATTTACAAAATCACAACAAAATACTTTTGTTTTTGGCCGTGTTTGTTTTTGCGTGCAAAGACTGGGGGTGACTTAGTTTCAACTTCCGGTCAGTTGAAATCACTGCATACATCTTCAAGTTTAGGCTTAGCACACTTCAACTTTTTTTTCAACCCTATAAATCAATAAAAAAATCTCACAGCTCATCATCCGCGCTCATTTGAAATACAAAATAACATAAAAAATATATCGAACCATTCTTTCTTTTGCAAATATAAATTATTCCTTATGACCTTTCCAATACATTAATACAAGTTTGAAAAATATTACAAAATTACATTTTTATTCTTAAATCTATTCGTAGCCTTCTTTCTTTTGAATTGAGATGAAAATAAATTTAACTAAGGATAAAAAATCGTTTTTAGGACGATAGAATAAAATTGATGTTCACAATTCTCCACGAATATTACGTAAAAATTATAGTATATTCTTTGGTGCGTTAAAATAGAATTATTGGAACGGTGATGTCTTCCGAATTAATATTTTACTAAATTCGAAAATTATTGTGAAATTACTCACACTCTCACAGTTAACTTCTTCTGTACATTAATCACTGAATTCAAATTGTAACAAAAAATCGATAATAAATCTTTAGACTTCCCATTAGATTCAAAACACTAAAATATTTAACTGTGATATAATCACCATATTGAGTGGTCCAAGTATCAAACATCTGAATTACGATGCGACAATGCCCTCTTTAACTCTCTTTCCACCACACGTTGCGTTAGAGATCGTTTGCTTCGGCTTCTGTCCTTTTCTTTTCGTTCCTTGGTGCTCTTCCTTCGAGACGAAAGACTCCGTTTCATTGTGGGCGTGGAGATGTCTTCTTTCAATGCAGGATCATCTGGTATCGAGGTGAGCGATGATGAAAGGGAGGACTTTGAACGCAACGGAGGAAGCTCCACCACCTCTGGAGCTGGTTTAGCAAGAGACATACAGCTGGCTCTTAAACTGTCGTCCAATATCCCTCCACAACTCTCTAGAACACCTTCGGCGAAACGAACAAAGATCTGCGCTCGAGTTTCATACTGCAGTTCCTAACGAATTCATCAGATGGGAAATATTAATACAATTGTTATATGAGAAATGATAATCTCTTATTGATCCAGTGTTACTACAGGAGGAAACCTAAATTAAACTAACTTTATTTATACTGGATAGCTCTATCAGTTCTAAACTGTTCTTCCTAGAGGTTCAGTAAGGATCATCTCTTATTGATCCAGTGTTACTACAGGAAGAAACCTAAATTAAACTACAATGTAAGCTCACCCCTTGGTCAAAAAATGGACCAGCAAATTGACTAAAACCATCAAATCCAAATCCTAAATACAACAAGAGTGTAAAGAAAATACAAAGCGGGAGACTGACATGGAACAAAAAAGATGGATGTTAAATTAAAAAACTGGCCTTGCAAAAAGTTTGTTCCCAGTTGCTTTTCGGCAAAGTTTAGCGAAATTGTGGACTGCATGATAGTCTGGACTGCTTGAAGACATCCAACATCCTGACTGTGACCCAGGACCATCGCGAGCTTACTGCTTATCAACGAATAACTATGAGGGATACGAAAGTCAGCAATAGTTTCTTTTTTAATACATCAATCGTGCTATAGCGATGAATCTATATTATTACTTACATAACCGGAAAGACTTTGGGAAAAACGAGACTTGCCTCCGCCAAGACTTCAAATAAAAATTTCTCTAAAGCATCATCCTTTGTATGTCGGACTAAAGTCGACTAAAATAGCAAGAATAGCATTTCACTTTCAATGTTTTCTGTAAAAACGAAGGCTTCGTATAATAACCTTCGTGAAACATATTCAGAAATACATTCTACACCGCAAAATAAACGAACGCTTCCTTCCCTACCAATGTTGTCAGCAACAAAGCTTGTGTCTGCGTGTCATTTACCACCCCCGGATCCAGCAATCGGTTCTCAACTCCAGCTGGCCACAAAAATATTTCAGTTTCAGCCTCGGAGATTTGAGCAGGTCCCGGAGAGACGGGCGATTCTATCGTTATCATAACTGGACTGACAGGCATTGAATTTGGTGGCGTTATTGACGACTGGCTCTTCGGGATTGATTTCGGTCGGGCGTGAAGAGAACTATCAGGACGTAATTTAGCGCGGATTTCATCAGAGACAATTAACAACGCTGAAGAAGAAAGATGAATACATCCTTATCACCACAGTAATAAAGTTTAAAAATAAAAGCATCCTAACTTTACCTGAAAGATAAGGGATTGTTTCTTTATACACAGCAAATTTTTCTCTCCTGTAAAACAGATATAATAAAAACAAATTATAATTTTTTATTCTGTTTTTATTATTTTATTATTTTTCGTACACTGCAGAAATTGTACTCATTAAGACTACCACACTGGACCACCACGTTTGAGATATCTTCTTCAGGTAGTTCAGACACAAACCACGACAGCTTATTGTAGAATACTACCTACACTGGACCACTACGTTTGAGATATCTTTCGTAGGTAGTTCAGACACAAACCACGACAGCTTATTGTAGAATACTACCTACACTGGACCACTACGTTTGAGATATCTTTCTCAGGTACTTCAGACACAAACCACGACAGCTTACTGTGGAATACTACCTACACTGGACCACCACGTTTGAGATATCTTTCTCAGGTAGTTCAGACACAAACCACGACAGCTAATTGTCGACCACCTACACTAGAAATATCTTTTTCAGGTAGTCCAGACATAAACAGCGACAGCTCATTGTAGAATACTTCCTACACTGCAAAAACCAGATGATTGCAAAATACCATCCAGACAGCATCTCTGTATGTAACACAATAAAGAGATGGGAAAAAGCCTTACACATGATTTGTTCGATGTTTTCCTGCGATGTTTAGCATGAGATTTAAAATTCGGATGGCTCGAGTGTTTGTTGATGAGCTGCCATGACGTAAACCTGAAGATGAAGTAGAAAATATCGTTATTATCCGATACACAATCCACGATCATATCTGATCATCAACACTGTTACCTTTTAACAGATAAGCAACAAGGGCAAAATGAAAATTGTTCGCAAAGGCCACGCCGATGATATGATCCAGTTGTTTGCAATGCCACTCCATTCTTGGATCTTTACGGAAATTCAGAAGGACTTTGTCAACACTCTCGTTATCGAACGCACCTTGCGACTCCAGGGTTAGCAAGGACTGTTCAAGCAAAGCTAGACCAGCCGGGTAAAGCCCGTTTTCCGCCAGTTGAAGAGTACCGATAGCGATCCAAAACGAAGCCGTGTGGAATCTCGACGATTTGTCCAAGATTGTCAGGAGACGAGTGAAACACATTATGACACCCTCGATAAGACTAACATCACTGAAATCATTCAGAGCCTGCAATAAGAAAGACATTTCACGAGAAAGTTCTTTAAAGATGGAGCATATCACTGTTTAAATGGATCAATAAGAGATGATCCTAACTGGCCCTCTAGGAAGAACAGTTTAGAACTGATAGAGCTATCCATTATAAATAAAGTTAGTTTAGTTTAGGTTTCCTCCTGTAGTAACACTGGATCAATAAGAGATGATCCTTTCTGGACCTCTAGAAAGAACAGTTTAGAACTGATAGAGCTATCCAGTATAAATAAAGTTAGTTTAGTTTAGGTTTCCTCCTGTAGTAACACTGGATCAATAAGAGATGATCCTTACTGGACCTCTAGGAAGAACAGTTTAGAACTGATAGAGATATCCAGTATAAATAAAATAGTTTAGGTTTTCTTCTGTAATAACAAAGGTTCGTAAACGGTTGTTTTAATACCTTTATAAAAACAAGTAGAAGTTCTCTTATTCGAGCATCATCAATTTCTTTACAAGCACAGCCGTAAACGATGACAGCTCTGGCCTGGAGTGGCGGGTTGTATTGAAAAGCAAATCTAAAGAAAAAGATAAAACCTCTAGAAAACAGCTTAACTGAAGTAAAGAATGCAGAAGAAGAAATAAACAGAACAACATTAACATACTCCATTGTCAATTTCGTCCACGTCTCCAGCCACGTACAGTTGGGAATGTCTTTCATGCATGCCTTGAAAAAACATGAAAATTAAAAGAAATAATCCTACATAGGCACTTTCAGTTTTTATTGTTTGAGAGGAAATTTGGGTAGGATTTATTGATCCATACATCGCTAAACTCTCCACATCTTACCTCAACAACTTCAAGAAGAGAATTTGCAATCGTTTGTATGGATGTCATATGGATTTTCTCCGAGTCTCTCAGGTTGATCATGTGTCTACCGCCGCGGTATGACGACTGAAATGCGCGAACTGGGGCCGACTTACTTGAGAAATGCCTACGGATACAGAATATTTAACAAAAGCCATTTGTCCGGAAACCTGTCAAAATTTTCGCACAAAGATATCTCGACTTACCAAAAAGAAGATAAAATTTAGGAAGAGAAAACTCTGACATGCGAAGCCGCAACAAACGCTTCGTTTCATCTAAAAAGAAAGCAAAAATAATTTAGCAAATATTCCCACCACATTACTTAATCCAGGATTAGCGCTAATACTGAATTGAGTTAGTTAATCCGCTTATTTCATCTGACTATTTACAAATTGTCACCAGACAGATATATGAAAACACACCTGGCAGCTCAAGTGATGTACATGTGGACAGCGACTGGATAACATTGATGAGAATACCGTGAACGGTTGCTCTGAGGAACAAGGGACCCATGCATACCAAACTGATGATAATGTGAAACAGGTGAGGTAGATTATTTGCAACTAAATGAAGACATAATGAGGTAAACACCAAAAATGGTAGCTATTCATCCCCACTGTATATTTGACTCACTCTTAAAAACGAGGATGGCATAAAAAACTGTCTTACCATCGAGAGAATCGTTAAATGACAACATTAAAAGATATCGACTTAAAATCGCTATGTCCTCCCACATGAGATGTTCTTCAAGACGCGGTGTTGGGGTTATCGACGTCTTTCTTATCAACTGAAAAAAATTACAAGCATTCGATTATAATTATATTTAAAAAGCGACAACCAGCCACCTCTTCATGCTCATCGTTTCTTTCTAAAATGCCTTGTGAAAACGACAGCAGCCAATTCTTCGTTCAAATGACTTATGAAAAGGACAGCTTACCATCAAAAGTCTATTGATGAACTTGCTGGACACAACATTGACGTTAGCGGTGGCCAAGGCAACTGAGGTATCTGCCATTACTTCGGCCTTTACTGAGCCCAGTCCCCCTGCCGTACTGGCCTTAACGAAGATAAACCAACCAGTTAATACAAGCATCGTAATCATACCATGCATTATCCAGTAATAATCGATAAGCTAATGGTAAAACAATCGCGCAATCCAAATGGAAATCTTTGAAATAAGATCGTGGAGGAGACACTCACTTTAATAAAACTATCTAGAACGGTATCAACTAACTCCGTGACTTTTCCCATATTTCCCCAGATTTTTGCTTGAATTGATGGATACATGGCCTGGAATAAAAATAATAGTTAATCACAACTCAAACGTGGTAAAAATACCTCTATCACCCATTTATTGCTCCCCAGTTATTTCAAAATGCTGTTTGATATTCTCTGACGATCCTGAATATAATGTTTATTGCTCACCCCTTTTTCAGCAATGGTCAGTTCAATTAAGTCTTCAAGAATTGCGTTCACTTGCGCACGCTTTGTTCCTTTACTTAGTTCCTTGCAATAACTGAAAGAGAAGCCTCACAACATCACTGGATGTCACCTTATTTAAGCTAACTTCGGTCAGACATGCATGTTGTCCAAGCGGCGTTTCCACAAACGACTATCTATCCGTGTACATCATCCTAACCTATTTTAATCTTCAGATTAAAGTGGATGTCAAGTCAGTTCTGTACATCAGGCCTGCTCGTATCAACGCGAGGGCCGAAATTTTCTGAAGATAAACTCTAATTCACACTCATTTAGAACCGAAGCGAACCTAAGTTGTGACATTCAGACATCTTATCACATCTTTGAAAAGTATTAAAGTTCAAAATTCATCTAGTCTTGCACTTTAACCAACATGTAGCTACATTTTATCCTTACCGTGATAAATTTGGAAACCAAGGTGCCATATACTCCAAGCAAAGATGTTTCAGCTCGTGGTTGGATTTCTTAAAACCTGATATGCATTCTTGTAGAAACTAAAGCCAGAAAAATGACAATAAATTATCAAACTACCACCAAAATAATCGTCAAAGTTGACGACTAAATTCAGCGTTACCTCTAAGGTGAGATGTGGTTCCTTGCTCGCCAGATTGCTGGATATACCAACAATGAATATTGTGTTGTTTGCAGGAATACATAATCCTTAAAAAAGAAAACAATATCAACTGCTAGGTATTGGTAATACCATTTACTGTCACGTCTTCTCACTTCAGTCACCGTATTCAACAAACAAGCCTCTGGACTTGGATATTTTTTAGGGTCAGGTACTTCAGATAAAATCAAGTAAATTTTGTGCAAACTTTACCAGTTCCTTCAAAGAGTCGCTCCTCAATTTTGAAATGAAAAACAGTCGTAAGAGCACAGAGTAAGTTGTAAGCAGCCAAACGTAAACTTGGATCTCTCGTGCCAAGGTTGAGCAATGCCTGGAACAAAAAGCGGTAAAATAAGAGGAATTTGTGCAGTCGTCTGTACGAAATCCGCGAGTAAATTTTACTCGTTTTCCATCCTGTGGGTGACACAGTTAACATAGTTGCTAAATCAGGCCTCTCTCCATCAAGCATATTAAACCTAACCTACCATGTTTAACAGAGTTCCGGGTACATCTTTGGGAAGAATTTTCTTTGTTGCAGCCGTTTGGTTCTAAATCAGATGAAAAAGTATAGACATGCATATAAGGTTTGCTGAACTGGTGAACAAGGTTAATTTCTTACCCAACGGGGATAACAATTGATAAAACCAGCGAAGTTTTACCACTAAAGCCATTTTATCCACTTCGAAATCCCAACCAAAAGTTTGTTGAAACCATAAACATATTTGAAACCATAGCTACATATAACTTCAGGTATACAGCCATCACTTTGTGTAAGCTTCATGAAAGCTCCTGCGATTTGGCTCATAACCGCAGTTATATTAGGACTACGTTAAAACAAGCAAATTCGGCTCAATGAACTTACTTGTTGAGACATTAACCATCGCTTCTTTAGGTGTGTGACGGCCTGGACTATTTGATCGGATTCGTTGCTCATGTACAAGATTCCCGCGGCTGTCTTAAACTTCATCCAAAATAGATTATCGTCAGTACTTTGAGAGATGACCTTTGAATAAAAAAAATAGATCACAAAATTTAGAGGTTCCCCTTGTGACTGTGAATTCTACAGAACTCTTGGAATCTTACATCTTCGATTTCGTTTGGATAAAATATATCCTTGATATAGAAACTGTAGCCCAAAACTTTGTGTTTTTCTGACGTCTGAATCTGTATGCAGTTTGGCCCGATCTAATAAAATAGAAGATTTAAGAATTTAAGACCAAATATCGAAGGTGTTTGCCAACATAAATTGGTACACCATTAAATTAATGAGGTGAAGAATTTTAGAACAATACCTTAATAAAAACTGAGACTTTATAATGAACTTTAATGGCGTTAAAAATCTGCAACGAATGATAAATTTTAGTCTGATTCTAAAGAATACATAATTTTACTGAACTGCACTACAAAGTCTAGCCAACTCCTCACTTTATCACTTAATGAAAGAGTCAAGTGTAGGAAAGAGTTTCGTTTAGGCTGGTTCAAAACTGCAGGAAAACGCTTTCAATGCCAACTCACATTTAAATCCTTCTCTGAAGATGTAGTCGAGCTTGGCAATCCTAATTCCTCCGGTGAAATGTAATCGTTGAATTTACTCAGATTGTCGATGACTATCACTTGGTTATGATGCTAAAAAATCAATGAAGATTGTGTTTGAGCTTTTCCACAACCATTAACGATCACATATAATAGATTTCGTACCTTAAAAGGTGCAAAAAACCTCTCATTTATTTTGATATATTCCTTCATGGCGCTATTCATGTTGTAAACATAAACAGTTTGAAGATTTGTGACAGGGAGAAGTGATATACCATTCTTTAACGATGTAACCTGACAATGAAGAGAATAAATACGAGTGGCTGGATAAGGCTGTTATCAGATTGAATAATAGATGGTTTGCACATGAGGTAATAGGGAGATTTAGCATGAGGACGTGAACGTCAAAGAAGACGTGAAAATGACGAATAAATGGCGTGATGCGCCCAAATATGGACATGCCACGCCATTTACTCGCCATTTTCACGTCGTATTTGACGTTCACGCCCTCGTGAATAGCAGCACCAAGCGTGACTCTGACGTCACAGGCAAGCACGTCACTCACCTTCATTTGATTCGACTTTGCTGTCTGCGTGATGTCACATACCAGTTCCCAGGCTTGACCGTGTAAGGCTTTCAGCATCAACAGCATGTGATAAATTAAACGATCCGGGCTGATTATGTCATTTCTGTTAATGGACAAATCACATTTTCAGGTTTCAAATCAGACGGCAAAGTTAAGGTATTATGGTATGCGTGGTTATGATACTGTGAACATAGAAGGTAGAACTGCTAGCGACACATCTCAGATGTATGGACACCGTGAATAGGTTAAGATCCTCACCTAAATCGTCGAGGAATAAAATAAAACACGGGATTACCATTCTTTGATCTCCCTTCCTATAAAAACAAGCGATGAAACTTTATCAAAAACTCCATTAATGTTGTGCAAATCAAATAGGTAGGAATTGTGACTTGACCCGATGGCTTCATTGTATGTTGATTGTTAATCTTTAATAATAGACGTCGATGCCAACCCAGTGTCCTTACGGTCCTTACCTGATAGAAAATCTTGAGATTCTTGATTTCCTCAAGATCTCTCTCCCCTGTATCAGCGTGACGTGCCATGAATTCCTCAAAATCAGACGAGCCTCCCTGAGTTGTCCATCTGTAGGATTATTACAGATGAAAGATTATTACAGATGTTTTTGGGACGATGATGAATATATTTGCACCCACATATAGAACCCGCGGGAGCCTTGTTGACCTTCAGTTTACGACAATAGTTCAATAGACTACTCACTTCTTTTGAATTTGCAATCTCTGAGGATCCGGCGGTCCCAGTCGAGCTAACAATGTTGTCAACTTTTCAAACACCCCTCGGCCGTAAATTTTGAATTCTCTGCAAGAAAACAAGCATTACTTGGATTATTAACTCCCAACGTTAATAAATTGTGAATCACAATCTTCTGGGGCAGGTTGCACGAAAGCAGGATAGCGCCATCCACTGGACTAGGATTCTTTAACCGTTGTAAAAATGTTGGAAAAGCAATAGAATTACATATTTTGAGCTAACAATTATTATTGAGAACCCCAAATTTAGGAATACCAAAGTTTAAATCAGTGTGTACCAACAACGGGCAATCTTAGAGCGATTGAAGGAACTAGTGTCTGGCGGATAGCTTCATCTAGATTTCGTAGAATCGCTCTCTGTATGATAGTGACAAGTGAATTTAGAGAACAAAATGGCAGGCTCTACATTTCTCACCCCCTTGCAGCCATGTATAATCCGATCTTTTCCTGACTGCTCCATAACATGCGATGAAGTGAGAGAATATTCGCATCACTGACGAATGAATAAACATCTCTGTCATCCTGTTTAAGCGAAGGACGGTGCAACGAGATTTTCTCGAAGTACCTACAAGAGATTAATTCTTTTTCACGTAGTTCTGACACAAGCCAACAGAACAACACCAAATTTGACTTACTGCTGCGTTTTGGTGAGGTTTTCCTTCAAAAAGCCATTCAAAGGTTCCATATGTTTTTCTTTTGTAAACAACATATTGTTGGCCAAACTTTGAAGAATCTGTAAAAGCAAAAGCAGACATGATAATCTGTACAACCATGGTCCAAAAACTGTGGTATTTCTAACAGCTAAATCATTACACATCGCGTCTTTTACCTTGGACAAAAACATCAGACCTCTTCTAATATTTTCCGGAGGAGGATGATCCACAATACCAAGCATTTGTGGGGAATCTTAAAATACAAAAATTCTCGTTTATTCACGATAATATTAAAACACCATTAGACCTCTTCTTTCCACGAAAACGCGTAATCACATTTCAAGGTGAATTTCTTGAAAATCTACTAAAATTATCCATCAACTCTTGAGTTTAAACGCCCTTTTAGGTTTCGTCAATGAAAAAAACTTACTTATCGCAGGATTGATGAAACGAAGGAATATGGCGCTGCCGACAGCCTCGGCTTTGTGCTGACGAAATCTTTGACTAACAACCTAAAATTGAAAAGCGATTAATTCACATGAATTGCTCCGGATTCTTTGTCGCACGAGTGAAATTCTCCGCGTTACAAACGTACACAACACGAACCTTCTTTAGACAGTAACAAAGTAACTTCAGTGCATTTGGAAAACTAGAAAATATCAAGCAACCATTGACATATAAATTGACAGAAAAACTTGCGTTCGGTTCGTCGATATGCATGCATGTAGTAAAGATAACAACGTTGGATCTTACTTGTCGAGAGATTCATAAAAATGGGTAAGAAATTTCTCAGCCAAATTGATTACGTTTTGGGTATTTTCCTCCAAACTTTCTCCCTCTTCCAGCCTATACAGTAAAACAGTTGTACTTTTTGTCTAAATTATATTGTACTGGGGTCGATTGAAGCAATATTCATTCAGATTGATAAACTCGTCAATTGTTAGTCACTTCTTATAATCTTACTGCGTTCATAGCAGTTATTAAATACAGGAAGAGAAGAAGAAGTTAAAAACAAAACGCTGACCTGCTTGGATCGAGTTCAAATGTGGTGTTAAGATTTTCCTGTTTAAGCAAAGGTCTTATGAGCGGACCAAGGAGGTAGTGGATGTAGTTGGTACCGAAGATCTTGAAACAGAACGTGGTCACTTTAGTTGCCAGCGTGTTGCCTCGAAACAGGACGTGGTAACCTTCGCAGTTCCTGACCTAGGATGACAAGAGAAATATGGTCAAAATATGTAGCTATGCTTTGAATAATCTCACGCACATGATCAGACTATTGATATGTTGTTAACTAACACGATTCATATACCATACCTCTTGAGAGAGTATATTCCACAGAAACTGGTACAAGAGATTCATCGCGTCAAATAAAGTTACCAAAACCTGCGCTAAATCATCCTGTTCATTTGACGGCACGACATTGGCTAACGCCACAGCCAATAGGAGTTCTCCCTTTTCACCCATGGTCGCCATTAGGTTTGCAAGCTGCTCATAGCGATCACGAGTGGCTGTTTCCGCCAGCGTATCGAATTCTGTTCCTTGATTGAGGATTTTCATTAAAACTTCCATGAAGATCGCTCTTGTAGCAAGGTCGGCATGATAGCCAAGACCTACGAATATGCAATTAAGTATAAATAAAGTTAGTTTAGTTCTAGGTTTCCTCCTGTAGTAACACTGGATCAATAAGAGATGATCCTTACTGGACCTCTAGGAAGAACAGTTTAGAACTGATAGAGCTATCCAGTATAAATAAAGTTAGTTTAGTTTAGGTTTCCTCCTGTAGTAACTCTAGATCAATAAGAGATGATCCTTACTGGACCTCTAGGAAGAACAGTTTAGAACTAATAGAACTATCCAGTATAAATAAAGTTAGTTTAGTTTAGGTTTCCTCCAGCAGTAACACTGGATCAATAAGAGATGATCCTTACTGGACCTCTAGGAAGAACAGTTTAGAACTGATAGAGCTATCCAGTATAAATAAAGTTAGTTTAGTTTAGGTTTCCTCCTGTAGTAACACTGGATCAATAAGAGATGATCCTTACTGGACCTCTAGGAAGAACAGTTTAGAACTGATAGAGCTATCCAGTATAAATAAAGTTAGTTTAGTTTAGGTTTCCTCCTGTAGTAACACTGGATCAATAAGAGATGATTCTAACTGGACCTCTAGAAGAACAGTTTAGAACTGATAGAGCTATCCAGTATAAATAAAGTTAGTTTAGTTTAAGTTTCCTCCTGTAGTACACTGGATCAATAAGAAATGATTCTTACTGAACCTCTAGAAGAACAGTATAATAATTATTATGATAATGATTTAACACAAGTTTCATACCAATAGCATGAGTTAGACCAGCATCGATATTGGCGCTGAGCAGGTTCGACATGGCGGCCACGGTGCACTGATGTAAGTTGTCATGATATGTTAAGATACTCTTTTGACGCTTCTTCTCCAGAGTAGCGTCATTGTGGTCTTCACCAGGCCCAACACAACGACTCAGCAAGTTGAGAACAGTGTGAAATATCTGGAGAGAAAGCAGATGCAGATATAGTAATTTTCATTCCCTGCACACTTTCAGTTGACGCACGTCATACCTCTTGAGAAAGACTTA